GCGGATGCTGTCTCCATGCTCCTCAAGGTCATGCAGGAGCATACCAACCTGTCCACTCTGTGCGGCTTCAAGGGAGACGAGACTAGCATCGACTTCTGTAACGAGGGCCTCCTCCCAGTGGATGCGATGCTGATTGCGCCTGAGATCCGCGTCATGGCCTCGCTGACCTCCGCAGATTTCAGCCAAAACCAGCTGGGACCCGAGGGCGTTAAAGCACTCGCGCCAGCGCTGGCTGCCAGCGCCTCGCTGACGAGCGTGTCGCTCGCTGACAACCGGCTGTGCGGCGTGGACGGGGATGGAAACGGCACCTACGATGCGACCGGCATCAAAGCCATCGCTGATGCCCTGCGCGTCAACGCCTCGCTGACGAGCTTGAGGTATGTTGCCATCCAAGCCACACATGCGTAGAACGTGTAGCAGTCTGACTTGCAGCTGGTTTCGTGCCTTGCAGCCTTCGCGAAAACAACATCAAGGGCACGGGCGAGGCGCTTTGGGAGGCCCTCAAGAACAACTCGTGTATCAAGACGCTCGATCTGTGCCTTTGCAGTCTCGGGCCAGAGGACGGGACGGGCCTGGCTGGCGGCATTGCCGTCAGCGCCTCCCTGACGGAGGTGCCGCCGCCTGCACCTGTCTGCGTGTCAAGTTGCGCTGGTCTCAGCTGTGTGCGCCGTGCGCAGGTTTACATCTGCGGCAACAACATCAGGAACGGTGGGGCAGAAGCAATTGCTAATGCTCTCAAAGCCAACGACTCGTGCGTGCTCAAGAAACTGGCGGTAGACCTTGGTCTTGAGGACCATGAGGGCCTCAAATCAGCCTGCCAGCTCCGAGGAGTGGAGCTCGAAGGAGTGGAGTAAAGCATACAAGTCGGGCGAGAACTGATGGGTATGTTTTCACGTTTTTACAAACTGCTCTGCGTTACAGTTAAATCTTAGACCTCAAATATGTAAAGCCGTACGTATTTAATTGCTACAGAACATGTACTCTCTCACCTTCTCTGTATTAAGGCAGGGAGGGGTGCGCCCACATTACAGTGTCGATCGACCCGGGAGGATATATAGTCGCGATGGGCAATTGGGCAGGCTGCTTCGCCGCTCTACTCAATGACAATGTCCAGCAGGCTAGATGGCACCGCCACCTTATGGTCGGCCATGCGCCTCCACACGGCTCGCAAGGCGGTCTCGTTGCAGGCCAGCCGCTCGTATTTGCACGAGCCGCGGCAGCTCGGCTCGCTG